TTGACTGGCTCGATACATACAAGGACTCACTGCAGAGACTCCTTCCTTGCTAGCTTTCCCTTTTCCTCATAATTCTGAAAAAAGTATTCAGACAAGGTGACTTGTTAAGTAAAAAGTGTAAAATTTAGAAGAGACTGTCGTAACCAGTAAAGCAGATGTGTTTCTGTCCTTCTCAGAGGAGAGAAGCAATCGTGACATCACATTGCTCACAGGCTCTTGCAGCACAATCAAATACCACTCCTGGCTTAGGAAATGCTGTTCAGAGATGGAGCTGCCCGTTCCTTGGGTTTGTTCTGGCAAACTCAAATGGGTTTAGAGTTTGACTGTAAGTGCTCCTTGACTGAAGAGCAGGGACAGGACATTCCCATGGTCAGCTTTTGGTTGAGTCCATCTGCTCCAAGTTAYTGGTTTATACACTGAGGTTTTTGCAGTCCACTTATCCTCAAGCACATTTGTTGTTGAAGTGCTGCCTGAATAACTGGGGAAATGACAAGAGCTTTCAGAGTGTTAGAGGTGGGGAGCAGCCTGGAGCATCGAGGGATCTGGCTGAGATCCTTTACCAGGAGATGAATCCCCAGGKCCTCCCCAGCTGCCAGTGCTGAGTGAGTCCAATTCCCACAAGATGCAAGAGGTAGGGATGGGAAGAGAGGTGTTTTCCAGTGGACTGGGCAGAGTGTGCCCTGATGGAGTACAGATCAAAAAAACTTTGCTGATGTGCTTGTGTTTGCCAGAATCAGGCCAGATGTTTGAGTAACACTCCACGTGGTGTTCCCCACTGATACAGRCCAYTCATGAAAGAAAAGAACATTCCTTAGGATGTTTCCTTTTACTTTTTGTCCTTCTGGGCATGTATCACATAGCAGTGATACCGAGAAATGAGCACTGAGTGATGATGCTGTTCCCAGCTCATGGAGGAGCTGTTCCCCACGTGACGGATAGGGACTATTGACAGAGACAGAGGGACAAGCAGAGACAAGATTTCAGCTTTGGGGACACCAACAACAGTCACAGAGGCCAATTTCAAGGTGAGATGGTCCTGGAGAAAAGTTCTGTGAGATTTAACTATCCCAGCAAGTATTTCATCCCACGGGCTGTTCCCCAGCACTCGGCCCTTACTGGCCATGCTGCAAGTCAAAAGTCATTTTCCAGAGCCTGATCCTTTTTATGTAGACCGGACTGTGGTCTGACCAATATGAAGGGCCATAAATCAATTTTGARTCATGATGTTGGTGGATTAACAGACCTGGGGGTGTCAAACTTGAGAGAGTTTTCTAGGGAGCGGAGATGCAAAATGTCTCGTTGATAGATGGCTCAAAACACTCTTCTTCATGCCACGTTTTGTTCTCAGTCAYGCTCCAGAAATGTCTGTTCTTTTGAACCTGGTGGATGCTGTGYACTTAAAAGACAGAGAAATTAAAGAGGATGAATCTGCAGAGCATTTACAGCTAGTGAATACAAGTGCATTGCCTTCCAGTGATATGGCAGAGAGCACCTCTGAAGGCTTTTAGGGCTTTTTTTCCCTCTCGTTGCAGCCCAAAAGAAAAAGGTTTTTGTTTCAAAAAACAAAGAGAAAGAGAAGAGGATGTTGGTGATATGGACACAAAGAGAGGGCAGATGTGGGAGATGTAGGTCCCAGACCTGAGGGAGTTTGAGCCCCTCTCTCATCTCTGGAAACGCATTCCCAGGTCAGCCTGGGTTGGATTCTGCTCGTGTTTCTGAAGCTGTTTCCAGGCAGGCAGGGAGGGGAGATGCTGTGCTGGCTGAGCAAGGTTCCTGCTGCAATGAGCTGATTCCAGGAGCTCCAGGACATTCCCAGCAGCAAATCCCAAGAGGGCCCATAAGGGAGAAGCTGCCTTCCCAGATTGCATCCTATTTTAGCCTGAAATTGTTCTGTTASCTAAACATACATCATTCAAGTGCTGATCAAAGAAAGCCCCACGGCAGAGGAACATTATTGATTCCTTGTGTTATACCTCACCCTGCTCATGGCTCTGGCTGAGCCTATAAAGGCAGCGTGGCCWGGGAATGTTTCAGCAGCAGTGTTTACATGGGAAAGGTGTTCATTCACCCCTGTGTGTGTAAAACACCTTCCTGCCTGAGGAACTGATAATGTGGATTGCACACCCAGAGGAGATTCCTCCCAGGGCAGAAGGACTTGGTGGAAGGAGAGAGAGAGGCATGGAGCAAAGATTTACCCTAACTGGTGAGGTGTGGTGTGAATTTGGAAGCTCAAGTGCCAGTTTTGGTGTGTGGTGTCTTTCAGCTGAGCGTGGTTTCAGCTCTGTTGAAGGGAAGTGCTGAAGCTTCTTTGCAAAAGCCTGCATGGATCAGCAGATGTGGTGACTCTTCCACTGGTCTTAAAAAAAACCCAAATAAATCTTTCTTGTCATGGGCCATATCTCTAAGGTATGCTAAAGCAAAAGGATGAATGGCTTTTCTAAGCRGACTGGATTTTGTCTCAGGCCCTGTTTGCAGTGTTGGTGTATATAAGGACTCAGTGTGCAGCTCTTTTGCAGAACCAAGAATTCCCTGGAGAAATACCCAAGTTCCAAGCTCTACTTTTGTAGTCATGGTCATGTTGTCTGTGGCTAAAGCAAAGATGTGGCTGCAGCATTTTTTTTCTGTTTTAGGTGGGATTGTCCAYGCACTGGTGACAGTCCAGTGCTGTGCACATGTGAGTTTAAGCCCTCTCAGGGCAGGCAGAYGCTTTTAGGTTTGACATTTGGAAGCCATGCTTCTTGTCCAATTTCTATATTTGTTTCACTATTATAATATCTCCACTGTAACAAAATTAAGTCGTGGTTCCCTATATTTTCCTGAAGAATGAGTAAAATCCTGTTAAGCAGCAGCAGCCTTTTCCCTTAGTTCAGTAATTGAAAGGGGGGAGGTGTCACCAGCAAGTGCAGCCACTGGATRTTCTTTCACAGCAGTACTTTTTTTTTTTTCCTGGTGCCTTAATTCTTTTTAATGTTTGAGTCAGGAAAAGTTGCCAAAATGTAAATTACGACTAGCATGCTTCTCCCTCCCACACAATACAGATTATTGATAGCGGATGTAGCTGGTTCCACGTGGAGTTGCCTTGCAGACCTTCTTACTCTGCTYATTTAACACACCTCAGCACTCTGTGTCCATCATTCTGTCTTCTCTTCCTGGAGAACTACAGACATGAGCAATTTTTTTGATAGTATTTACAGTTTAGAGGGAAACACCAGTGAGAAACCACGAATTGCTCAAGTGTGGCTGTGTGAGTTTGTGTAGAAAGAACATGATATCCGCAGCTGCCATGTTATTTTCTTGTTGTGAATTTATCCTGCGTTAGTGAGTCTTGCTCATCACACATGTTGTAGTACTTTACTTTCTCTATCTCTCTTAGGGCAGCTGTGATTAAATATTTTATCAAAACTAGAGAAATTCTCAAAACCAGGCTTCTGTATGGCTGCAAGTTGCTCTTTGTGGTTGTGTTCTGTTGCTATAAATTCTTTTGATGTCTGTAAAGTTTTGCCCCAGCTGGATATGCTATTTTCTCCATCCTAGAAACAGCAAGTAAAGAAAAAAAAAGCAACAAAGGAGATATAGTGAATAAACAAGTTTTGCAATAAAGGGGTATTTTTAGCTGGGTATTTCATATYGTTTCTCCTTGGTCAAACCTCTTCCATAGTTTGAGAGGGTTAGCAATRCAATTTATTCATTTTCTCCAAGGGAGAGGCTGCATTTAATATGTGCTCTCCAGGATACCCTGTTAAAATATTAGGCAATAAAATCCTTGACTGTACAGTAGCTGTGGTTATAATTTCCCCCAGGTAGTGCAAACTCTGTAATTTATTGTTGTGCAAGTTTTCCCTTCGTAGGGATTGGAGCAGTTGTAGCTGAGTGAGAAGCTCTGCTTTGCTCCATGTGTTTGTGGGTGACCCAGCTCCCTCCCTGACGAGCATCTCATTGCTGCCACTGCCTCATCCCAGACTTGCAGATCACACTCCCACAGGGGAACTCCCACTATTCCCTCCTGGGATGGAAATTTTGTAATTGGCTGCATATAAACAGCAGTGCCAGCAACCTTGAGGGAGACACTCGTGGTGTTGAAGCCATAGTGCAAGAGCTTGTTCGGTGGCTCCTTATCTATCTGGAGTCTAAAATGCAAAACATTGAGCAAATTCTGCGTTACTTAGAGATGATCTCCTCAGTTTGTGCGTCAAAACAGGCTGAAAACGWAAGGAACTGATCCCTGGGGAAGCCTGTGAAAGTGGCTTTTTTCAACATGAAGGGTGAGAACATGAATCCTTTCACTCCTGTGGCAGCAGATACCTCCACAATTGCCTCCTTTCCCTTTCCCTTTCCCTTCCCTTTCCCTTTTTCCCCTCTTTTCACAGTTCTGGCCTCTGGTGCTGTCCAAGCATCCTCACCCACCCAGCATAAGCACTTGGGAATAATTTTTTACTTTTTTAGGCAGGTTTGGGGTGCAGGAAGGGTAAAGACAAACTTTTCTCCTTTGCCTTTTTTATTTTGGTCAGGAGGAACAATTTTGCTTGAGATTATACTTTTTTTTTTTTTTTTTTTGGTAATGAAACCTCTGAGAAGTCATATTGCATCTTCCAAGCAAACTGCTGAACTCAACTGCTTTTACCAAACGCATGCAAAATTTTCCCCTCAGGATCCTTAGAGGCCCTGGAGTGCCTGCCTTGAAAAACCTGGGTTGGTGAGCAGAGTCMCTCCAGAGTGATTTCCATAGGATACCTTTAGACAGCGTGCTTACGTGTATTTATAAATCCATACATCCACATTTAACACATCAGCTTCTCTTTTGGTGCTTTTCTGCGTGAGGCAGGCAGGAGATAAAACAACTGAGATATCCAAGGAGCTGCTGCCCAGCTGGTAAAGTCTGGAAAAAAAAAAAGAAAAAAAGCCAAAACCCTCCATACAAGAGGCACAGACAGAAGCAGATTTTGYCATTGCCTTTCTCCTGGCCCTGAACAGACGTGGTTGTTTCTCTGTGCTCGTTGCAGATGCCTCAGGAACAGTACGCGCACCGGAGCACCATGCAGACCTCGGAAGGACCCCAGGTATACAAAGTGGGCATTTATGGCTGGAGGAAGAGGTGCCTCTATTTCTTTGTGCTGCTCCTAATGATTTTAATCCTGGTGAACCTTGCTATGACCATCTGGATTCTGAAGGTTATGAACTTCACAATTGTAAGTAGGGGTTACCCTGGAAGGTCTGGGGAAGATGAGGGAGGGTGCTGGTCTTTGTGCTGAGCATGACTTCAGATACAGCTTGGATAACGGGGTGTTTCATTTTTGTGGACAGTCCTTTTACAGGGAGGAACAAATTTACCCAATGGTCCTCCTTTTCTGCTGGATCAGTTCAGCATTGCAAATCATGTTCCTCTTATCTGCTGTAGATGTAACAAATATACATGTATATTTGTTAACAATATACACCACCCTTCCCCAATTTTCAATTATAAAGCATTTTCAAATTAATGAACTTGGTTATTTTGAACTGGGGTGTGGAGTGGGTTTGAGCCTTTCTCTTAGACTTTTTGGGAAGACAAGAAACTTGATTTGCTTTTCTTCTTTGGGAAAATTCATATTGTTCCATAATGATGTCATTCTGGAAGCCCCATGAAATAAAATGAAATGTACAGGGTGTCTCCCTGGTACTTGGGTGGAATGTGTCTTTACCCTTGTTGTGCTGTGCTCAGTGCACATCAATCCTCGAGCAGCTCTACCTTGGCCAGGGTTAGCTTTCCACTTCCAGAGCTTGTGAGCCTTTACATGTGGCAAATCCTTGTTTTTCTGTAGGTAATTTGGCCAAGCAGAGTGAAAATGAAATTATTAGTCCCCTCTTCTTCAAAGTAGTCATTGTCACCTTGTTCAAATTGGGTTGTTAATTTTCAGATCATTTGAGTYTTTAGGAGAAACCAAGTCGGAGGTTTTAATCCTGGTTCTGCTGTAGAGCTAYATTTCCCTAGACAACTTTCAAGGAACCCTCCCAGCCAGTCTCTGATCTGAGCAGCATGTCTTTTTGGCATTTCTTTCTCTGCTTTGCTCTTGTGCAGTCCCAAACAGCTGTGGCCAGCATTATGTCATTAATGGGCCATGAGAAGTTGAATAAACAATCTCTGGCTTCCTTCCTTCATCTGTACCCAGCAGATGAAATGTTGTATCAGGGGAATGTGCACGTTCATTTTCTCTAACCAGGTTGCTGTCAAGGTGTGCAGAAGATTGCAGTTTGTGTGTGCTTGGGGAGCCAGCAATTATAAAGCAGTAATCCACAAAAAGCTCCTGTGAGTGGGCAAAGAGTGGCCAAAGTGGAGCAATTAGTGCTTAACCAGACCAGTTATTTAATCTTGTGAAATTGATGCCATTTGGTACCCATWTCATGCTGAACTATGGTCTTTAGTCTAATGGAGTTGAAAAATAGGTATTTGAGGTGATGGAAGAGTTGGTCATATGCCCATCATACAGGCAGTGGTGTGGGTATCACCCAAGAACAAAATAAGAGAATTTTGAATGATCCCTTTTCAGGAATGCAGCTTAATTTCTTTCTAATAACTTCAGTCCCATGCATTTTTGCCATTTGGTGGTGRTCAGTCAGCTCTCTAGAGATTTCTTGGGAAGTCAGGTGAGCATCTCTGCTCCTTTCTCTATCAATGCCCTCTCATGATGCCTGCATTTTGCAAGCCAGGTGCTGAAATGCCATCTTCCAGGGATATGTACAGAAACCTCCCATTTCCAGCAGCTCTCTCCACCCCCCTGAGATACAGACTGGCTTTTGAGGGGATGCACTGATCTTCAGTTTCTTGTCTGATTCTGTTTCCTTACTTGCCCTTGGATTACTGGGGATTATTCCAGGGTAAAGTATGTTTGTGCATGGCTTAGTTAATTCATATCTACTAATGCTAGGGGATGATGAACAGCGTTTGGTGATAAAAACACAGGTGGTGGTGCTGAGCCCTGCAGTGGGAGCAGCTTTATGGTTGTAGGYATGGCCACGCTAGTCAGGGTGAGTGTTTCTGGCACAGCCAGCTGGAAATAAATACAAAAACTGGGCATGTGGAATGTGAGTCTTGCCCCAGTATGCACCCATTCATCTCCTGATCTCCTGCTGCTCCTGCAGCCTCGCCAGCTGCTTTGGATCCTGCTCTGCAATCCCTCCTGCACCGTTCCCTGAGGCTGAGAAAACCACTTGGCTAAGTGAGTTTTTAGAGGCAGACTTTTATCTCTAAATAACAAATGTAGGAAAATCATCAAGCGAGCAGATGCGAATGTGGGAAAATCTTTAATTTGTTGCTGTTCTGATAAGAGGAGTTGAGAGTCCTTCTGGGGCAGAGGAATGATCTGAGTAGTCAGTGAGCAATAGCTGCTGCTTGACAGGTGTGAGTTAGCCAGTGCTTGCAGAACAGAAGGGAGGGGAAAGTTTGTTTCTGTTCTTCTGGAAAATGTAGTATTTCCAGCATCTTCCCACCCCTGAGCTCTCCTTCCAGAACCTGAGTCTGTTCAACTACACAGAACAGTCCTGGTGCTTACCAGAATTTAATGATGCTCATTATAGCCAATAAGTGCTCACAGTATTTTAATGAGCACAGCAAACCTGCTCAAGAAAACTCAGGGGTGTTTTAAATGCTGATAGTGGGGAGTGGAGGAGTGGGGAAGAGATGAAGCAAGACAATCTCAGGATGAAAAAGCTCCTTCTCATSCTTGCTGTGGCAGTGTCCATCCACTCCACTTCCATGTCCAGCCCTGACTGCCCTTTCTCTGCCCTCTGCATGCCCCCTGGCTTGTGCTCCAGGAGACAATTCCTCTGAAATCAGGCCATAAGCTTCCAATCAGTGGCTTTTAACAGGCAAGCATCACTGATTTATTCTAGGTTTTGCTTTTATTTGAACATTCAGGGCTTAAACAAATGTATGTGTGGCTGTTGGCTTTTACACAGGGCTGTCAAAGCAGTGTCACGCCTGCGTGGGGACAGCTGGTCATTGTCTGCTCTATCCTCTGGCACAATTATTCATTCTCATGTACTGTTTGATACTCAATTTGTTTTAAATGCCTCTATCCAGCAGAAGCTGTATGAAAAACAGGCCTAGAGTGGACCTCAAATGTCATGTGCCTGTCCCCCCCTGGTTCCCACAGCCAGGTCCATTTGCTCTGTTCATTCACATCAGGGCTGCAGGAAGCTCTGGGCAGCTGCTGCCTCCAAACCTTGCTCAGATTTTTAAGCCAAACCACGGAATGAATCTGGACCAAAGCCACCAATTTGGTTGAAACCCAAATGTACCTTGAGGGTGGCCTAACCTAACTGAGGCAGAAACCACCATGCAGCTCTCAGCTTTCCCTTGATGTATAGCTACAGGGTGCTCTGCTTCATCCAGATCTAGGACAAGCCTGGTAGAAAGTCGTGGTTTGCTCATATTGAGCTTGAGGAAATGGTGTTAATGCCTGTGGGTTGTGTGTGTGACTGAGCCACTCAGTCTGCACATCCCACACCGGCTGTGGCTGTGTCCTGGTGTCACACAGGTGTGGTAGAGGGCTAAACATCCACCTGTGATGGGCTAAACATCCACCTGTGGTGGTGTAAACATCCAGCTGTGGTGGGCTCAACATCCAGCTGTGGTGGGCTCAGCCTCCAGCTGCAGAGTTTGGCTGAGGTAAGCACAGCCTTCCTAGGTCCCAGCTTAATTAAAAGGCTGGAATGAGAGCTCTTAACAGCCTTGCTCTCTCTGGCCCTCCTGCATTAGCAGCCAGTGATGCAGCTCTTCAGCAGCAGCATTGCCCGTGACAATGACTATTAGCACATGCTTATTTTATGCTGCACACCTATGATCTCTATTTCAACTGGGGATCTCTATTTCAGCTGTTACCAGTGAGCTTGGAACATTTTTTAAAAAGCTTCCTGTTGTATTAGTTTCTGAGTATTACAAGAAGAGATGTGCTTACATAAACACAGCACACYAATATCCTCGTTTGAAGCAGTCCAAAGCTAGAAAGCTCTGATAATGGGCAGTGACAGTGCATTGACCTCCTTCCACRAGGGTAGCACACTATGCCTGGTATTTTAAATGGTGTTGGAGTCTGAAGCACTATCCATTAGTACCCCTTTAGAGGCTGTTAGGCAGCAGGCAGAGCTTTAAACAGGAGAGATGAGGACTGTGTCCTGTTGTGGCTGCATTTAAATGTCAAACACTCCCCTACTTGTCTGCCCATCCAACCATGTAGGACTTTTTGCTTTTCTTTTGCTCTTTCCTGGTGTTTCTGTCCATAGTTCCTGTTTGCTTGATGTGTATTGTTTTGTTTTGGGACAGGAGCTGTTTGCATATGGCATCCTGTAGTTCCTGTATAGTGGCAGGTTCTACTGGACTTTAAACTGTAAGAAATGGAAAAATTATATTTCCCCCTCCCAATCAGCCTGCAAGGTTTGAAATTCCTGGAGAGCTGTTTTCTAAGAATCATCCCAAGCGAAGATTTCAGATTAGTTTTTGTAGAGAAAATATTCTGCAGCATGGTATTCAGGAGTCCCTTCCTGAGCCAGATTTCACATGTTCCTCCAGASTGGGACAGCACCATCCCTGGAGGTATTTCCAGATATGGGAAGGGTTTGGGGTGAYTTGGCAGTGCTGGGTTAATTGTGGGACTGTGATCTCAGAGGTGTTTCCCACCTAAATAATTCTGTGATTCCATGTGCTGCTTCCAGGTCTGTGCAGGCTGTTTGTGCCATGTGTGTGTGCCCCTCCAAGGGAATGCAGGCAGTGACCCTGCTCCTCCCACCTTCCTTGGGGTGCAGAGAGGGGAATCTTCTCCTCCTGCTCCAGGGAAGCTCAGGCTGGGGGTCCCTGACCCCACTGCATGTGCCAACTCTGGCTTCTCCTTTCATAACTGCACAATGTTCTCTCAATGTTTGCATGAAAGGCCCTTTGCATGAAGTTCAGCCATATTTTATTGTTTTAATTGAACAGGAATAAATTGTYGCAATTGTTCAGATTTTTCCCCTTTTTTGCCTCCAGCTGTGTTCATAGCTGAAGGGGTTTGGTTTAGCATGGTTGAGTGAAATGTTGGCAATTTAGAGAGACAAAATGCTGCTGTAGGTGGCAAAAATGCTAAATATCGTTATTATCTTTCTTTCTTTATTAAAAGTTGCTAGGAAAAATTAGCTTTTAAAATTTGGTTATGAACAGTTATTTCCAATACAATTA